TGTGGTTTAATTTGACATAACCAACGAAGAGAAGTCATATAACCACCGTTATAAATTTTGTCCTTATAAATTACTTCTGTGATAATGACATAAATAACTTGCCAAGAGATATAAAAGATTAATGGATAAACAAAACCAGTAAGAAAAGTAAGATGGTCTGGAATTGGGAATGAACTTTTCCAACGAAGGTAGTAAAGAACTAAATTAGGGAAGAAGTGAATAACAATAGAAGTTAATTTCGTAAGGTCATGGAAAACAAAGCTGTTTGTCCATAAAATAATTGCCATTAATAAAGGTCCAGCACAATTAACAAACATAATTTCAAATAGTGGTGATACAGTATTAAAACAATAAATAGATATTAATGTTGTAATTACTCCCGCATTGGTATAATAACAAAAGTCTAATAAAAAGAATTGCCATTTAGACATTCTGTAAACAAGAAATCTAGCTATTACTAATGGAATTAATAACATTAAATATAAAATTGGTATTAATTCTGCTCTTCGTAACATAATATATTCTGTTAATAAAACAATACCAAATGACATTACAAATGTCACTTTATCTAATAACTTAATATTTCTTCTTTTTTTCAATGAATCATCAATAACAGGAATAGTTTCAATTTTTATTTTATTTGAATCAACAGCCATTGGCTATTCATATTTCTTTATTTCAGCAATTCAACTAAAAAAGTTAAAATGAAACATTAAAAATAAATTGTTACTTTGAAGTTAGAAGTAATAAAGATAACGTGCTTCATTATTAAATTAATAAAGACAATTATTTTAAATGAATTAGAATAAGAAGAGTAAATAATTTTTTTCTTTGTGCCTCAAACAAATTATACTTTACATATTTCTAAAAATACTTATTAATACAAATAAGGAGAAATTTCTTGAATGTATATTAATAATACAGATAAATTAAATTATTATACATATCAATTGTATCAAGACTTAATCATAATTTAGACAATGTCTATTTTATCTAATATTAGAATAATAAAATACTAAAATTTCCTTTAAAAACTATATAAATAATGATTAAATCCATTAATTAATTAAAAGAAATAAATCAAATAATGTTATTTAATATTATGTACGTAGTATGTATAATTACTATTAGTTATAAATCCATTGTTAAAATTATAATATTTTTATTTAATAAAAAAGTAAATAAAAACATCATTTTTATAAAATGTGACAAAATATTAAATCCAACGTTAAATTTTAAAAATTACCTAATAATTTATAATTCTTAGTTTAAATATGATCATATTGAAAAATATTCTTTCTGGTGTTATATCATAATTAATTTATCATTTCAATTCCAACAATAAATTTGTTACCAAAAGAAAGAAAAACTTATAAAGAAATAATTAAATGAAGGACAATAAAACAATAATACTTGAAGAGTCTCAATTCATTAATATACCCAAGACTTGACTCTTACAAAATCAGAAAAGGTCTTGTTAAATTTAATAAGAAATTCCCTTTAATTGAAGAAAGTTTAACTTATTTATTAAATGAGCTAGAAGTAAAAAAAAGACAATAAAAGAAGATCGTGAAAAAGATTTAGCAAAACCTTTTAACATTCAACACAAGCATGGAATAGAAGCGAAACATTATGAAAAAGTGAAAGTCCAAAACTTTTTAACTCTAAGAATTATTTGTAAAAAATAAATAAATCAAAAGAAGAAATACCAACACCTTCCTTTAAAGAGGATTTTGAGAAATTTAATAAACATTCTAAAAAGTTTTAAACAAGAAAATGCAGTAAATTTAGCCAAAAACTCAGATTATTGATTACTTAAACAAAGAGAAGAATGAATAGAAAACAAACAATATACTATTTGATTCAAATAAAGATAATTGGAAAGTTAATACATCAGTATTTGAAGAAAGAATAATGAATAATGAACATATAATAATTATTATTGACGATTTAGAAGGAAATAAATTTGGAGGATATGTTAATTCTAAAATTGATAAAGTTGGTGAATGGATAAATGATTCAAAATCATTTGTATTTTCATTAGAGTCAAATGGAAGATTATATGAAATGATGAAATTTGATAATGAAGAACCAAAATATGCATTTAAAATATATAATCAAACAGATAATCAATTATTTTCATTTGGAAATGGATGGGACATTGTTGTTTATAAAGCAAATAATAAAACAAAATCATATTGTGAGCAAAATTCTTTTGAATATAACGGAATTGAAAATACACTTTGTGGAAAAGAAATTCCAGAACGTTTCACACCAAAACGAATTATAGTAATTGAAATGAAATGATTCAATCTTGATTAATTGAAAATGAACTAAAAAAGAATAAAAACAAATCAATGAAGAATATAAACAGCCATTTCATTCATCTAAAATGAATGAAATGGTGAAATAAAAATTGACATAATTCAATGTTGATTTATTTTATTTCATTTAATGAAATTTTCACACCCAATGAGGGTGTTTTTAATAAATAAGAAAAGAAATAAGAATAAAATAGACATAAGAATCAATGAATAAACAATTTATTTGTATTATTTCATTGAATTAATTCATTATGAATCAAATGAATAAGGTAATAAAAATAAGAATAAGAAACAAATAAAGAAATGATAAAATACATCAACATATTTATGTTATTATTTCTTATTTATTCTTATTGTTATTTTCTATTTAAACGATAATAAACAAAACATAATAAGAAAGATAAATAAGAATAACACAACATAAAATAAAGAATAATAATAAAATAATAAAATATACAACAAACACGAATAAACAAGAAATAACAAATGATAAAAGAAGAACTAAATAAAATAACAACAAGAATAAAGAAAATAGAAATAAAATAAATAAGTGATGATAAGAAAAGATAAAACTAAAATAACATAATAATATAATAACAATATCATTGATTTTATTCTTATTTTATTTTTATTTTATTCGTACTTTTATTATTTTTATTTGGTTAAATTATATTTTATTGAATGAAAATAAATGAGAAATGAAGAATGAAAATCAGAAACAACACACAAATATTAATACAAAATCAAATAATGAAAAATCAAATAATATTTGATTATAATGATGTAATTTAATAAGAAAAATAATAAATAATAATAGAAAGAATGAAATAAAATAATATGAAATAATAATAAGAAAATAAAATGATATAAATGATGATATTAATAATAAATGAAATTATACATAATAATATAATAATTATGAAATGTTCCTTCATAAAATAAGAAAATAAAGAAAGATTATATTAATTAAATTACAATAAAAATCGAAGAAGAAGATAAAAAGAAGAATAATTTATTCAAACAAAACAAGAAGAAAATCTAAATAATAAATAAAATAAATAATTTACTCATTTTAATAACAACTGATCTGACTAATATCAAATAATCAATGAATAAATAACAATTTAAAAAAATTCATTATCTAATTATTATATAAAATAAATAGAAATATAAAATAATACTTAATGAGAAATAATCAAATGAAAGGAATAAATAAGATAATAAAAGAAATAGAAAAAAGAAGATACAAACATAAAGAATAAAGACAAATAATAATTGAAAAAAAACAATAAAAAGACAATAAATAAAAAATTAAAATAGTATTTTTGAAACACTAAACAATATTTTATATTGTTGTTTAAGAAGTATAAAAATAATAACTTTGGTTGTGTAATAATGCATTTATTATATGATATTAAAAAGGTTTATTCTCAAATAAATTTATAGTGTAAATAGTTTATATCAGAAGATAAATTTATTGATTCATTTTCTTTCGTTTTATTTATTGTTATATGGTTACATATAAGAAGAACTTTTTCATTTCATTTCAATTACTATAATTCGTTTTGGTGTGAAACGTTCTGGAATTTCTTTTCCACAAAGTGTATTTTCAATTCCGTTATATTCAAAAGAATTTTGCTCACAATATGATTTTGTTTTATTATTTGCTTTATAAACAACAATGTCCCATCCATTTCCAAATGAAAATAATTGATTATCTGTTTGATTATATATTTTAAATGCATATTTTGGTTCTTCATTATCAAATTTCATCATTTCATATAATCTTCCATTTGACTCTAATGAAAATACAAATGATTTTGAATCATTTATCCATTCACCAACTTTATCAATTTTAGAATTAACATATCCTCCAAATTTATTTCCTTCTAAATCGTCAATAATAATTATTATATGTTCATTATTCATTATTCTTTCTTCAAATACTGATGTATTAACTTTCCAATTATCTTTATTTGAATCAAATAGTATATTTCCTAATTTTCTATTTGTCCATTCTTCTAGTTGTTCGATATATTTTGTATCAATGGTTATTTCTATTGGACAAACAATTGCAACATTGTGTGGTTGTTTTGCTACACTGTTGTAGGGTTGTTCTTCTATTGCAACACTGTGTGGTTGTTCTTCTATTGGATTATTTTCTGGTTGTTCTTCTATTGCAACATTGTGTGGTTGTTTTGCTACACTGTTGTTTGATTCTTTTATTGCAACATTGTGTGGTTGTTCTTCTATTGCAACATTGTGTGGTTGTTTTGCTACATTGTTGTAGGGTTGTTCTTCTATTGGATTGGTGTTGGATGGATTGGTGTTTTCTTTCTTGTTCTTTTCTATTTCATCTTTTATCTTCTGAAGATATTTCTTTTTAAATTCCTCTTGTATCAATTCTTTTATAACTTCTTCATTAACTGTGCAATCATTCTTTGTTTTCTTCATTTTTTTCTTCATCTTCTTAATTAAATACCTCTGTACTTTTATATTTAATGTATTGTTTTCTATTTGATTTTCATGTACTTCAAGTTCTTTTCTTGTTTTTTCATTCTCTTCTTTCATCCTTCTTAGTTCTTCACTAACTTCTTTTTCATTCCCATTAACAGTATTAGAAATCTCTTGCACTATTGTGTTTTTTGTTAACATTAATTCCATGTTAGTCTCTAAGCTACTAATTCTTAATTCTTGGTTTTGTAGTTTCTTTTCTATCTCTGTATGACAGCTACTGAAATGAACAAGCTCTTCAACTGCTTGTGTTACTGTTTTGATATTTTCTTGGTTTTCCATTGTGTTGGAGTGTTTTATATTTAGATTAAAACTAATAATGTTATTTATATATTAATAGTTCATAAACTATTAATTATAGTTTTTTAATTATTTTAATAATATCAATTAAAAATAGAATTGGCATTGAAATTGAAATTGGAATTATTTGGATTTTAACTTTTATTCTTTTTTTTTATTAAATCTAAAATGAAAATGTATTAAATTGTGTTTCATGAAATATTGATTATTCTACTCCATTTTCTTCAGTTGAGACAATTTCATTGTATTTAACAGAGTGTTCAAAATGTATTTTTTCCATTCATACATTTCATCTCATTTATTCTGTTATTATTTCATTATTATTTCATGTTCATTATTTGTTATATCTTGGATTATCATTTCAAATTGTTTTATAATACCTTGCTCATTTATTATTTCTATTTGTTTTATCTTCTATATAAAGGTTATTCTTTTATAAATATTCACTTTTATTGATGATTTATTATTCCAATTCTTTGATTATTTCTTTATTTTCTATTCTTCTTTTGTTTTAATTA